GCTTCTGGATCCTTTTGTACGAGCTGCACGGTTTAATTAACTTAAATCATGATGGATATTAATTAATTAGTTAATTAATCTTAAACCAATTGTCCATTAATCATTTAATCTTGGTCACCTTGCTTTTTCCTTTTTAAGCTACATCTAATTGTAGGCTATTTTACATGGAATGCGTACAGATGATTTTCCTTGTCCTATATACACATCTAAATATGGAATAAGAATATTGAGCACTTCTTTTTGTCCCTCCTCACCCGCCCCGAATTTAAATAAATATAAGACTTCTAAGTTAGAATTTTAAGTTCTCACAAGTTAAATTGGTTAAATTGTCTAATATAATATTTTTTTGTAATCTATGGATCATTTAGAAATAATTGTTTTACATATTTCTTTCAAGAATAAGCTAGTTAAAATAAATTTACTATTTACTCCCTCCTGTTTGAGTTAGTTTTATCATTAATTAAGGTTTCATTTATGAGTGCTTTATACACGTTTACTATATTTAAAAATATAAATTTATTATAAATAATTAATTCTAATTAATATTTTATATATTTTCATAATAAGATTTGATGAAGACATAAGACCCTAAAGTTGTAGCATAGTCCAACATATTATAGCACTCCCAAACAAAGCCTTATAAATAGGGATGTCTAAATTAGTTATTAGAAAGACATTAAATGCTAGTGTCTCAATTTTACTATTATCTCGAAAAGGTAAAGCATATTGTATTTGGATTTTGATTTAATTGTAAATAAGAATTAAAATAAAAAAATAAGTCTCAATTATTGTAATAAATAAACTTTTAAAAAATTATGAATATAATAAAATGACACAACTAGATTATAAGTAAGATTTTCAACTTGAAAGCTTGAAACATGCATGCTTAAATGCAAAAGTTAAGCTTGAATTTACTACCTCAAGTCTAATTTAGTTGTATTTAAGTGAAATCTTGTACTATCAATAACCAACTCTGACCCACAAAAAGGAAAATAAAAAGAAAGAAAGAAAGAAGAAAAGAAAGGGAATCCTAAAAACAAAAATTAAACAGCAAGTCTTCTTCATAGAACTCTCTTGAGATTTCGCTATTTTTTCTAATTGTCCCCAGAACTGATTATTTCAAATGCAACACAAAGCCCAAAATACCATAAAAATGCGCGCATGTTGTGTAGAGAAAGCATTATAGACATTAAACCAGACAATTGTTTCAGTTGAGAAGATCTTGAAGGTGCCACAGTATAAATCTTTCAACAAACCTAGTCGAAATCCTATATATTATGCAGAGAGATATAGTATGCGAAAATATCGATCGAACTGCTTATGATTATTCAGGTCAAAACTTGTAAATTAAACATCATTAGGTCAAATTTGAAACAAGCAAATTCAAATATTTAGGTTGTTATGTACTAACTACAAAAGAGCAAAGTTTATAATCTTGAACAAAGCTAGTCAAGATCAATTATATAAATATCGAAACTACTTATAATTATCAAGTTAAGACTTCTAAATTAGAGATTATTAAGTTAAATTCAAAATAAGTAAATTAAAAATAAGTTATTCTAAACTACAAAAGAGCATAGTTCCCAATTATGTGGTATATGTGCTAAAGCAAAAGGAAAGAACACAAGAATATAAATCGAACTCTATAGGGGGAGAAGGCAACACTAACCTGGGCATGTTTTGCTTTAACATAGGGAGTGTCACCCTGAGGAACTTTGTGAATAACATGGAAAAGCTCTTCTTTTCTCTGCCCACTTCCCTCTTCCATCTCTTTCTCTTTCTCTCTCTCACTAGATCTCC